TGTGGTGGGGTTTTTAGGCTTTAGAGTTTAGGGGTTTAGGGGTTTAGGGTTTAGGGGTTTAGGGGTCGGTTTAGAGTTTAGGGTTTAGAGGTTTAGGGGTTTAGAGTTTAGGGTTTAGGGGTTTAGTGGTTCAGGGTTTAGGGGTTTGTGAGGGTTTGGGGGGTTTAGAGTTTAGCGTCTAGGGCTTAGGGCCCTTGTAGAAACTTGATAATCGCATCTCATGATGATTTAGCCCTTAAAGGAAACCTGAATAGAACACCCGATAAGATCCTCAATCAATAGAAAACCGCATCCCTTCTAGAATCTAGAAACCTTAGAAAGATGAGATGGGTAGTTCTCTAAGTTGTTCGATCCCCCAGATAGTACGGCACCCTTATGTCCGTCTTCGAGCTTTGCTTGCCTTGTGTGGCATTCGCGCCATTCTTTGGCGTGGAAGCAGCTGAACATGCAGCCGCAGCAGCTCCGTGTCTGTTGGACGCGAGCTGCCAAGGAACAAAAGACTTGCGAGCCAAGCAAAAGACATTCCAAATTGCCTTGGCACAGGACCAGCACGGTCCGCTGTACAGAACTGCTCTCGCAGCAAAATTAAGCTCAAAGATCTCCAAGACACGCGTTGCTTACCATGGGCAAGCATCGCCAGGGTGGCATTGATAAAGCACGAATTCAGCCTCAGGTCCCTGTATCGACCAGCCCGTTGCAGGTTCAATCGTCGACTTCTGACCCTTCAAGGCCATTTTGCCACTCGCCTCCTTGTAGAGGAGCATGTGGTAGATGTACACATACGGTGGCCATCCTGGTGTATTTTTGTACCAGCCCGGCTCATTGTCCGCATAGCACTTCACCCCCGTTTCCACCTGAGATGGTGCCGCAAAGTAGTTGTCGCCATTGTCACTGCGAGTGCATACCCAGGGAAAGGTCGTGAAGCTGATTGCGTGCATCGTACCGTAGCCATTGGACTTCCCATCATACTGCATGTAGGGGTTCGGCCAGGCCATCACCGCCTGGGTCACCACACCGCGTTTAACGCCATCCCCCCACTGCCCATTAGCCGAACTCGCAGCCATGTAGTCAGTGATGCCATTTGGGGCTTGACCACCGGCATTGCCGTCATTCCACCAACCTGCCTCATAATTTTCATAGATAGTGCCAGTCCCCGGATGCTTGAACTTGCAATAATTCCGCATGTTGCTTGACGTTTTGGGATCTTGCTGACAAGAGTTGCCCTGAGCCCTTCCTGCAAAGTGCTCCACATACTTGATATCCCCTTTGCAATCGGACTGGAGCCCAGCACCATCGCAGGCATGAAAGACGAAGAAGTCACCCGAACTGGCCTTGCCAGTCGCGTCAAAATATGCCCACGCCCGAGCATCACTGCGGGAGCCCGTGAGCAGATCGAAAACTTCACCGTTGCAAACATTACCATGCTGGAGGTTGTAGGTGAATGGTCGATAATTGTAGGGTGTACAGGTCAGCTCCTTGGTGGGATCGCACCACCAGGGGTTCGCGATCTGTACACAGCTGGATGGGTCCTGAGACGAGCGCGTCACTATGTCTTGCAACGAAGCGCTCGCCAAGCTCACCAGCAACATGAAGTGCCCCACCATGGACATTACACCAAGCCTTCAGGGGAAGCGTCGCACGTGTCCGATCTTGTCAAGCGCCTGAGCCGAGAGACTGCGACACTAAAGCCTTATATAGCTGAGAGCTCGACAACCCTAAACCCGACATTCGCGAGCGGCAAAAACGTCCAGGAGCCCAGGTATGACTTGCCGCGTTGACAGCATTTGCCACAAAGTACGAAAGATAGAAGCCCGAAATCGCGAAGAGTTTGGGTTTTTGCCTTGCATGCCTATGAACATCCTGCAAGATCCTCACGGGTGCGACAGGGCGCAACAGTGAAGCGGCCTGTAAACCCAAAACCCCAAACGAACCCTATACCCTAAACCCTAAATGGCGAAACTTAAAATCGAAACCTTGAGCCCTAAACCTGCTCGCCTTCAAATCCTCTCTCCAATCACCTCGCCAAACTGAAGCCATCAGCCAAAGCTCACTGAGCTCTGCGCCAAGAGCTAGAAGCCCTGAATTCGGGTTTGGGCTTTAGGGTTGAGGGTTTAATGCTTCGGGTGTATAGGGTGTTAGGTTCAGGGTTTACGGCGGTTTACGGGTTTAGGGTTCAGGATTGAGGGTTGAGGCCCTCGAGGGGAGGGGCGGGGGGCTCGAAGCTGTGCGAGTTTTTAGGGGCGTCCTGGCAAAAACTTGAAAAACGAGTGCCTAACACCCCCCAAAACCACCCCCTTTCGCGAAAACAACGACCCCGGCCTTCGGAATCACGAGCGCCGCGCCCTCACCCGCAGACTCCTCGGTTGTTTCGTTCTGTTGTGACGCCCCTATTTACTTAAAGGCTCTGTAACCCGAAGGGTTTAGGGTTTGGGGTGTAAGTCCCCTAAAACCCCCGCAAACACTAAACCCCCTAAATACCCTTAACCCTGAAACCTAAAGCTGTGGCACTATTTAAAGGCTATGTAACCCTAAAACCCTGAACCCCGGCAAACCCTAAAGCTATGGCCGTTAGCATGAGCTTAGGGTAGGCAGTAGCCGCTCAACATTCCAGGCATGGAGTCCGAGACATTACCTGGACCCCCAAAAAGCCGACCCCTTTTTAGGGCTCCTAACTATGGTCTCTTAGTAAACAGGGTTTAGGGTTTAGGGGTTTAGGGGTTTAGGGTTTAGGAGTTTAGGGTTTAGGGGTTTAGGGTTTAGGCTTGAAATCGGTAGGTAGGTTATTTGGGTTCAGGAATTTTCTACGAGGGAGTTTTTCTACCCCTCAGCCCTCCTCCAGCCAGAAATCCCAAACCCGTAACCCTTGGCCCTAGGTGCTGTTTCTACACAATAGCATCATGCGCATAATATAGGGGCCATAGCAATCAACCTAGGGTGTTGGGCAAATATCAGTCTTCTTCTATGGGGACTAGAAAGGAAACATTACATCTAATTAGAAACTAGTAAGTTCCTTGCCAACAGGAGGAGCCTGCTCATCATCCGCCCCCCAAACCCATCGGCACAGAAACGCCTTTTTTCCTTTCGCCAAAATGAAGGAAATCCGTGCTTTGCCTTGAAGGGTAGGCGCCGGGTAGATATTACACCAGAAGGGTTTCCACGAAGAGAGGGCCCAAAGTGGATCGTTTCGCGGCTTAGGGTTTAGATCTGCCGTTCTGCTTGGGAGGTTTCAGGGTTTAGGTTTTAGGGGCTCAGTGGTTCTGAATATTTCAGCAGGCTACGGTATGTTAAGTTTGGGGTTGTTTAGGGCTATGTCAAGAGAGTGTAGGGGTCGCAGTGCGGGTGTGTAAAGACGACCAGCTGGCCTTTCGAATAGTTCTCCCAACACCTCAACTCTACTTCAAGTTTCTTGTGCAGCAGTTGCAACGGTATACATAAATCAACCGGGTGAATTGTAACGATGCTGCTTCTTCGTCATAACCGCACCTACCACCCTGACCCTTGAAGTAGATCCTGACGCCTAACCCCCTTAGGGTTTAGGGTTTAAGGGGTTTAGGGTTTAGGGTTTAGGTTTCTTGAGTTTCTCCAGAAGTGCAGCTGGTTGAAAACCCAACTACCCAGAAAGCGAGCAAGCAAATTGGAATCCAATTCTCATCGGTGGCAGGGATGAAATCGTGCACCCGCAGAAATCCTTAGACCCCTACCACCCGACGCTTTGCCCACAAAGGACTCATATATTAAGGCTTCTGGGCCCAAAGACCCCATTATAGAAGGCTTTTGGGCTATTTTGATGCTAAGGCCTTATAAATTCCATATTAGGATGTATAATAAGAACCTACATCAAAGTGGGTTCTTGTTGGTTAAAGTAGGCTTGGATACAGAATTTCGACTTACAGGCGTAAAGGATAGGACTGAGGGCCCCAACGAGATGAAAGCCACATACGAAGCCACCCCACTCCCCCGGTCCGCCACAAGAAGGAACCGCAAAACCCACAGTTTGGGGTTTAGGGTTTAGGGTTTAGGGCCTTAGCACAACTTAGCACCCTTAACAGTAGACCCTCAACCCTTAACTAATACTAAGCCCTAAACCCTCAACCCTAAACCCTTAACACTAACCACACACTTATGGGGTTCAAGGTCTTGGAAAAAGGTTTAAAACACTTCTTATGCCCCCGAACCCCGACCCACAAGAAAGTTAACACATCTCTAGCCCCTCCATGAACGACTGTTGATGATCTACATCCTGCATTACCTTAAGGACCCTAAACTGCGGGAATCATGGTATAGTCTTTATTATGGGTAATGCAGGATCTATATCATCAACCGACTGATCATCTCTTAAGGTCCCTATGTCACCTTGGCCCTTCGCGGCCTGTTCCTTTAGATGACCTTCATCGTGCTAAAACCCTTTTCGAAACTTTCTTTCCGACCGTGGAATTAAAAAACGGAGCGGCAGGAATTAAGGGTTTAGGATTTAGGTTTAAGGTTTAGGCTTTCGAAAGCCCCAAGCCCAAGCCCTTGCCCCTCCGCCCGTCCTAGTTTTGTCCAAAATGATGGCTTTTGGGGCACTGTGCTCCATCCATCCCCAACCGAGGCGCTGTCTAGACAAAAGAGTCTGCCTTGCAATCCGTGAGCATCTCTTAACAAAGGTAACATTGGGAGCTCATAGTCGCTTCCTCCTGATACCAAAGGGAGATATCTGAACTTCTGCAGCCACTGGGGTCCGGAAATGCACCGAAAACCATTCTCAAGTAGTATCTCCATTCCGATCGTAGCTCTGCAGAGTACATCCGATTTCCTGATTATGCTATATACGTGTTGAAGGACCTACTAACCTTTTAACCATAAAGCCGGTAGTCTAAAGATGGTGGTGCCATGTAGGGCTTAGAGTCCTAAACATTCCTAAACCCGGGATCCTAAACCCTTTTGGGGTCAAACGTAGAAGCCTGAATTATTGCAAGACGATACCTTAGGGCCCAACTATACTGTGAAAATACCCTCCTCCTCCCGGCAAAGCGTTCTCTTATTTATTATGGCCACGAGGCTACACCCGTATCGCATCCCTTCTAGTAAACCCTAAACCCTAAACCCTAACATCCTAAACCCTAAACCCTAAAACCCTAAACCCTAAACCCCTAAACCCTATAACCCTAAAGCGCTAAACCCTAAACTCTAAACCCTAAAACCCTAAACCCAAAGCCCCTAAAACCCTAAAACCCTAAACCCTAAGCCCTAAGCCCTAAAACCATTAGGGTGTCCGTTTTTGAACTCGAGGCTTCATGAGACCAAGCTGTCGATCACGGCCGACGGTCACAGCAACGAACCCGTGCAACTACTGTTGATGATAAGGGGGCTTAGGGTTTAGGGGATT